CCTTCGGGACATTTATACGAGCTATGGTGACAGCATTAGTGCACAACCTCAATGTACTCACATACCTCTATTCTCAATAATATACATGGGCAATGAAATTGACAGACAAATGACAGTGAAAGTGATAAAAGAAGGTAAGTTGCATGTGTGCATGACCTGATTGTATATTGTTATCATACCATAGATTCATGCATATTGATATGTAGTGACTCAATGATATGAATGCACATACATGAATTATATGTGTTATATGATGAGTATATGGTAAGTGGAAAGGATTATTGATAGTGTTTGTATATGCATGTCTTTTATTTATATGAAATGATATATGGTTATATTATATGTTTTATATGCCTCACTAAGTCTATGACTTAGCGTGTAAGTGATTTACACGTAGGTACCAAGAACGATAAGTGAAAGAATAGAAGTGGCAAAGACATTATCACTACTAAAAGATCAGATCAGAAGTATTTGACATAGTATGTATTTGGTTATGTATAAAGTGTTGGCATGTAATAAGTCATTAAGTACGAGCACTCTGATCAAGTCTGTATTTTGTTTTAAATAAAGTTTTAAATTTCCCGGGATTTTTCTTAAGAGTCAAGATTTGAAAAGTCAATGTGACACGTCGGACTCGTATCTGGGTTGGGTACGGGTTGGGGGTGTTACATTTAATGGTATCAGAGCTACGGTTTAGCCGATTCTAGGCTAAAAACGAAGTCAAAAGTGTTTTAAAAAGTATACATGCCAACGAAATAGTGAAAACTTCTGATCTGATAGAAAGTAAGTATACTGTTTTGCTAATAGAATGATATGATTGTATTTTATTAGATGTCTGGACAAGACAACTCCCGAGACGTAGCGGGAAATGATAGATTAGCTGAAGGTAGTAATTCACCTGCCCTGGCCAGGCAAGGTGAAGGACAGACACTTTCTGGAGTGCCTGTGCAAGACCAAGACGTTTTCTTTAGAACGTTAGACGCGGTGTTGATGCATTTCCAATCTCCTGCTCCTTCCACTCCGAGAAGGAATATAGAAAAAGATTTAAAAGGATTAGGAGCTCCTGAATTCAAAGGTGAAGTTGAGGAGAGTCCTGTTGAAGCGGACTTTTGGCTCAATGACGTAAAGATTATGCTAGATGGACTTCATTGTTCTGATATGGAAAAGTTAGACGGAGTAGTCTCCTTGCTTCGTGGACAAGCAAGAATATGGTGGACGAACGTTACTCTAAGAATGACAAGTGACCAAGTGACCTGGTTCTTGTTTTTAGAAGAGTTCAAACACAAGTATATAGGAGACCAGTTCATCAAGCAAATGAAACAAGAATTCTTGAATCTGAAGCAATTGGATCACACTATATATGAATATGAGTGTGAATTCAATAAGTTGAGTCGTTTTGTGGCTGAGTTAGTTCCAACAGAAAAAGATGCATGCGAATGGTTTGTGGAGGGCTTACGCCCGAGATTAAAGGAGATGTTGATTGTGTTAAATCTGTCCTCGTTTCAAGAGGTAGTGAATCATGCAAAAGCTCTTGAAAGAGCTCAGAATGAACGTTATGGGGATCAAAGAGTTCAATCTTTTAAAAGAACGGGGCCTTCATCGAGTTTAGTATCACCCAAAAGAAGTAGAGATTCTGATTTTCGATCTCAAGCACGGTCAGAGTCGATGACATCCTCTGCTAGAGGATCAAGTCAGATGAGAGATAGACAGACTCAATTTGTAGAGTCTGGTGATAGAATAGCACAATTGAGACATTGTCAGAATTGTGGAAGATATCATGGTGGGATATGTAGAATTAAATCTGGAGCTTGTTTCCGATGTGGGGAAATAGGACATTTCATGAGAGATTGTCCATTGAAGGACAGAGAGCTTGCACAATCAGAACGATCTGTTTTGATGTCTCAAAGAGGTAGGGGTAGAGGTAGAGAAAGAAATCAAACAGAATCTTCTACTCAACATGAGATGCGCTCCACTGCTAGAATATATAATCTTAATGATAATGAAGACTGTGAGGACCCAGAATTATTGGCAGGTATCTTTCGGTTGTATAGTAAATGCGTTATGATATTGGTTGATTTAGGCTAGCATAATTACATTTGAACAGTAAATTGATGAGAGAAGTACTAATTTTAGTTATAAGTTAATTGTAGTAGTTTTATTGATATAAACCCATTAAGGTATAGTGTTCAGGTAAATAAGATTTGTGGTTACATGAGTGGATTAAATAGCGTATGAGAACATGAGAAAATATATAGTTTAGTTATGCTATAAGGAAATCTTGATAATGAGGAATAGATAGAGAAAGATATGAGAATGATAGAGTTTAAATAATCAAGTAAGATAAGTGTTATAAGTGGTGTTAGAATATTTATAGCATGAGTGAAAGAGATATGTATTGAGTAATTAAAGAGGACTGTATATAAAGATTGCTTCATATTGTTATAAAGTGAAAATTCGAGGACGAATTTTCTTAAGGAGGGGAGAATTGTAACATCCCAAACTAGGGGTTAGTGGCTAAATTGTAAAGTTTAAGAATTTGATGAATTAAGTAGAATAATGGAATAATTCGATGATTTATTTGGAAATAATTCCTAAAAGTTGTTAGTAATTATTAAAGTAGATGAAGGGAAAAATGGTCATTGAACAAAGATAATATTAAATATTAATAAATGGGTATTATAATATATGAGAGGTATGATTGAAGAGATAAGTTTTAGACTTATCTTCTTCATCTTCATCTTCTCTCAAACGTGAAGAGCCAGCTTGCAAAGGTGAGTTTCTTTGTTAGTTGGTTATTTGCTAAATTTATGGTTGGGTTTTGATCATTAGATAATAACTAAGCTTAAGGAAAGCTTAGGTTATCTTAAGATTGGAAGATAAATAAGTTATGAAAGATTAAAGAAAATGGGTTTTTAAAGGAAATTTTGGAAAAAAGTTAATAAGAGATTTTTAAGATGGAATTTGACTTGTCATCAAGAAGAATAAGAGATTTATGAAGTTAGAAAAGATTTATAACAAATTTGAAAGTTTAGTAAGATTCTTAATTTTAAGAATCTTGATGAAATATGGAAGATAAATATGATTTATATGGACATAAGTTGGTTTCAATAATGATAGTTGAGTTTAAAGTCATAATAGGGGATTAAAATAGAAGAATTGAATGAAGAATTGATGAATTTCGGGCTTGAAATGCAATTTCTGGACAAGGTGCATCGATGCACATTCATAAGTGCATCGATGCATTCCTTTAAAAGAAGAACATCGAATGCCTTATCTCTGCAATAAAAAAATGAACACAAGCCAGAACCCCAGCCAAGACGATGAACCAGAAAACATGGGATAACCAGATTGTCAACTATTATTGGCAGCAAGCAAGGAGCGAGTATGTAACAAGCGGCTAGGAAGCCACTCGCCGTACAAGACCAGAGTCACAGTACTAAACATCAATGAAAATAAGCAAGGAAGAAGCAAGATAAGAATACCACGAGAATACAACAATGATGTGGATCAAGAGTAGATGCACATACCGCTAGTGAAATCAATGATGAAGGGGAATAAAATTGGCCATTTGCAATTACACCAAAAACCAGTCAAGCGGACATCGAGCTCAAATAGCTGATTCAAGTGCTCTGCCGATTCTCTCTCTTCTTTGCATAAGGAGCATGTTGGAGAGTCAATATTCGAAACACCTCACTTAGATAATTCCAATAGCACGGGACACGCTTGAGAATCACCTTCCAAACAAAGGCCTCCACTTTAGGAGGAGCAATTGTAGCCCAAACTAGATTTCAGATGTTATTCTTTTCCAGACCTAAGGTGACGACATTCACACAGAAACTTTTGGGAGAGTAAATTCCATATGGAGATCTCAACCATATTAATCTATCCGTTGTAGAATCACGATCGATTGCTCTATTGATAGTAATCCAAAAGTTGTCTCAAATGCTTAGTTCTCTATCAAAAAGAATTATTGTAAGTTCAATCTTCCAAGTCCAGTGACCATTAACCATTGATCCGAAAGCATTTACTTTCCTGGACTTTTTTATAGCGACAACAAAGATACGAGGGAAAACTAATTTTAGAGATGAGACATCGATCCAACGGTCGGTCCAAAAATTCACCAGATTTTCATCTCCACTTTGAATCTAAGATTCATTGTAAGAAAGTCATCAGCTGATGACAAAGGCTTGGTTATGTTTTTCCAGATGTGTTAATTTATTGACTATTAAAATTTATAAAATATTTTTTTTAATTATATGACATTATTTTATTGAATCTATCCTCTATTAAAAATTATCTCCGACCACAATTATGGGTAGCAGACACAAATTTCAAATTTCAAAAGCAACGAATTGAGTATACAAAAAACGGAACTTTACTCTCTTAATTATATGACAACTTAATATACGGTTAAGTAAAGACGTTACCGAAAATGTTATTATATTTTAAATTATTTCCGGTAAAAAATTACCTAAAATATTATTATTTCTACCGAAAATATTATTATTAATGCTTTACTGAGTTTGTTAACATATCCGATAAAACGTTACCTAAAATATTATTTTTTTTACCAAAAATATTAATATTATGTACTTTACCGAAAATATTAAAAACATTAATATTTTAGATAAAAAAAATATAATATTTTAGTTAATTTTTTATTAAAAATATATAAAAATAATAATATTTTTGATAACGTATTATTTTAATCATAACTTCGGACAAAGGTGTTTTGTGAAACAGGTCAAATGTCTCCAACCACTGGTTCATTCCTTTCCAGTATTTCTTCACATCTGACATTGTCAATTTCCCCACAAATCTTCAAATTTTTTATTTCAAAGTTTGGATTTTTATCTTATTGATTTTCCTTTTAAAAATTTATTTATTTTTCTGTTTAATGACTCAAAGTAACCCAGAAACCTTAATAAAAGGCAGCTTGTCTTCAACATTCTCTACTCATCTCTCTCCTTTAGGGCCCCTCTCTCTTTTTACATCTTCTCTGTCAAGCAGATATTTTACACTCAGTTCTCCTCTGTTTTCCCCTGTTTTTCTTACATGGCTGAGCTTATGGATGATGCCGAGTTTTGGCTGCCGCCCAAGTTTTTAGCGGACGACGATGGGATTATGATGAAAGGGAACCTTAAGAACGAGAACGGTGGAAAAACCGGTGCTGAGTCATGGGCATTTAGTCATGGTTTCCCCTGTGAGTTTCCTTACGAGTTTGACTCGTTCTCAGCTCTGAGCTCCCCTGTTGAATCCGTTGTAGAGTCGAAGGAGACGGAGAGCAGTGACGAGGATGAGTTTCTCTCTGGATTGACTCGCTGTCTCGCTTACTCCTGGAGTCAGAAACTCACTGTTCCCACTCTTTACCGGGACAAAAACGAGGTATAATAATGTCCTCTTTCGTTTTCTTGAGCTGATTTTTAGTAATGGTTCAGATTTTAAATTGGAGTTTCATTCTTAAATATAGAAAAAAGTAGCTTTGGCGAGTTCACCAAGGTCGACTCTGAGTGGACTCGGGTACTGGTCATCTTCAAGTAACAATAGCCCCGTTGGACCATCCCAAGTTCCGTCTCCGTCAACAACACCATTCTGTGCTCAAAACGACACTTGGGATCTCATTTATGCGGCAGCTGGTCAAGTTGCAAGGCTCAGAATGAGCAATGAAGTCCCCAAATACACCAACTTCAGCCATGGAAGAGCCTTACCCAAAGCTCAAAATCAGACAAATCAGGTAATCCTTTTTCTTGCATGTTGAAATTATTAGAACTCGACTGGCAGATGTTTTTTCTTGCTAGAGATATCCGGAATCGAACAGCTGGGTCTGTAGGTTCTGTCAGCGCTGTCATATTATTTTAAAAAAATGAAGTTATTTATTTTGTTTTTAGGGCTCATTGGGTTGTTTTCTATATGTTTTTGGTTAGTTTAATGGAAGACAAGTGAAGGCGAGTAACTGGCAGGCACAAGTTCAACAACAACAACAGCAGCAGATTCAGGGTAGGATAAGGAATAATGTTGTAGTGTTGCCTCAATCTTCATGGCCACCACTTCAAGTTCAGTCTCAGCCTAAGCAGCCTCAGAACCACCCTGGTTCCTGCATGAGACCGATGTTCATCCACGGATCCGGTGGCGTTAAACGCGAGTGCGCCGGTACCGGTGTCTTCATCCCTCGTAGATATAACACCAGCACCACTACTGAACCTAGAATGAAATCAGGTTGCTCGACAGCGTTACTTCCAGCAAATGTTGTCCAAGCACTAAATCTCAACTTCCCTGATACCACCAACCGTCACGGTCAGCCTCGATTCAATCCCGGTTTCGCATCAAACTATGGTAACCCCACCATGTCTGGTTTGTTCAGAATCATCGTTATAATTAAACATCATGCTTACTGAGATTCATAATGTTCCAACTTTGCAGATGCATTGGTAGCAAGAGGAAATGCATTGTTGACACAAGCAGGAAGAAATTACAGACAAGAAGGAAGCATAAATCTACCTCAGGAATGGACTTACTGATTTTTCAGAATAGTGGTTGTTTTGTTGAGAAAATGGCTGTGATAGTAGGATTTAGGTATATGGTAGTATTTTGCTTTATATATATATATATATATATATGTATGTATGTATGTATAAGGAAGAATTCAAGAATGTGAGTGTAGCTTAGAAAAAATTCAAGGAAATGGTAGCATTTTCTGGGTTTCTTTAAGTATTCAAGGAGATTTGAGATTGCAGCTTTTGGGGATTAACTATAGGAGCAAAAAGTAGGGGGTAGAGATGGTTCTTATTTGTTGTAATAAATTTTATTTTTTATTTTTGAATTTAGTGGGGGCATTGGATTTTTTGTCTTTGAATTTTTTTTTTTTTTGGGGGGGAGGGGGGGGGGGAAGGAAGAAAAATTCATGGCGTTTTTCTCGAAAAATTATCGGTGATCGATATATTTATCGATCTAACACCGGTTATATTATATTTTTCGATCTAACATCTTTTGTAGTAAAGCGCTCCCCTTATACTGCGTTATATGTTGATTTGATGTCACGTGGGGTAAGGTGCGCCTCTTGAACTGCACTATATACTGACATGGAATACACGTGGGTATAGCGTGGCCCTTGGAGCGCGCCTTACGCCATTTAAAGTATAGTTATCTTTAATTCTCTGACATAATTATATATAGTGCGGGGTAGAGCCGCATCATACATTTAACTAATATAATTATATAAGGCGCGGTACAGGTACCACGCCTTGTATAATTATAGCAACTTTTCTCGGCTATAAATACTCTTCTCCCTTGGTTAAGTTCCTCACATCTCTTCATATATCTCCTCTCAACTTATAAATTAATACAATAATTCCGTCAACGAGTCAATAATTCTAACAAAGACCTTGATGAAGTTCAAGATTGACTTTCAATTATACCAAATCCGAGTTTATTGATGGAGCGTGGTCGTCCAAAATCTAATCGAATTCATTGCGATATGGATATTCGAGAAAGATCTAAACAAGACAGAAGATGTGAGCATTGTAGAAACCCAGACCACACTAGAAAAACATGTCCACTTGTATTGTCATCAAGTAACAATTGATGAGAAAATGATATATTTGTTTATCAAATAATAATTCTTGTACTTTAATTTGCATTTACTTCAAGTTAATGTCATTCGATAATCGCTGATGAAGATTAAAAAAACGATACAATAATACGAGATTGGACGTTTGTGTTATATGTGATTATAATAAAAGAGATAATAAGTGACAAACTTAAGAAAGTTATCGAACACAATCATTAAATTTTATCAAACTAATAACAATTTGGTATTTCAAAATAATTTTAAATACAACAAACTTACAATAAATATTAAATGGTAATAAACAAAATTAACTGAAATTCATTAAAAAAAAGTCTAACAAATTTAACAAAATAAAGAAAGTATTAAATGAGAAATAATAAAAAATTACAATTAAAAAGTCCAATAAACTAAATACAAATATAATAAAAAACAAAATCTATCGTTGCCTACGACGCGAATGTGTTCCGCAGGGCGATGGCTGTCGGTCTCGAGGAGGATTTCTTCGTATCACTGGTTGTGACTCATCGCTGTCGTCATCATCACCATCATTATCGTCGTCGTCGTCTTCCTCCTCCTCCTGAGTAGGTACATTAGGTTGATGAGGAGCTGATGACGATGAAACACCTCCATAAAATAAAGACCCTGAAGGTGTATGACTGACTATCCCACTGGCCTGTGAAAACTGGGAAAACTCATAAAACCCAAACATCGTTGAGTGTGAAAACTGTACAGGAGATGTCTGTACTGTGGCCATGGGTGATGAGGCTGAACCTGCCAAATATCCAGTATATGAACCCCAAGTCGGATCTGTAAACATAGACTCATAATAGCCTCTAGGAGAGGTCATTTGTGACGGTGGTGGCGGCGACATCTGGTAATGGAAAGGCGGTGGCGGTATCATATATGGCTGCGGTATGTAAGTCACTGGATACAGTGGCTGCTGTGAAGGTCCTGCTTGTGCAGCTGAGGATGAACCGGAAGCACATGTTCTCCATCCATGAGTCGGGAGACGATGGTACTGTGTCGTTGAGCGTCTCTGTCGACGTCGCGGAAAGGTCTGCTCTCGTGCATCCTCGGGAAGCAAAAACGGTTTCCCATTACTGTTGAACCACTCATAATAACCTTCAGCAACCATCAAGAGATCATCAAAAATGGGCTCTCTATGGGGAAGGCGCCGATGTCGATCCTCTCATAACACGACCCACTCATGATGCCTTACCAGCCAATCTGTATATGTCTTGCCGCGTCTATCTGTGCTATGCAACTCGTCCATATTGCGAGGTGCTTCCGGAATTGGTTGAAAACAACCAAATTGCCGGAGCATGAGATCAGTGGAGTGCCACTCGACGGTCGCATAACATATCAAGGGGACCATCGCCATCCAAACATCTGATGGGCCCCTCAACTCAGGTGGGATCACCACCCTCACATCATCAGTAGAATATGACACTCATTCAAACTAAAACAAATATATAAAATTTTTATCAAAAGAATAATCTAATTATATAACTATAATCTAAAATCGATTTTTAAACATTAAAATTCATATCTGTGTGCCAGCCTTTTGATCTATTAGCACCCTAATTTTTTCTAAATCATCAGGTAGCTCTTGATGATTTTTCCTATCAGTAGACAACCTATTCAAGGAAACAAATTTATTATACGCTTTATAAAATTACTAATATACGAAATCAGTTTTATAATTACCTCAGGAGTAGTGGAAATACAAATGGGTTCTTCACAACGGGACATAAAAAAGGCAATCGATACCATGCCCAAGACTGCAGCAGCAGGAGACATCCGCCAATAGCATTACGCCTGTAGTCAATGGCTCGACACATCTCCATGTACAACAAAGCCAAAACTGTCGAGCCCCAACTGAATAATCCGGCCAGATGAAAGTCCCTCAGATGTCGCAACCACATGCAGTGAACTTGGTTGTGCGATTTGTCCGGCATCATCAACCCTCCTATCAGCTGCAGTATGCATGCCCGTGCATATATTTTAACTTCAACTCAGACGCGTCCTCGCTCAACTCCCAAAAATTGGCATCTAACCAATTTAACAATATCTGACCACCGTTAAAACTTTCCGGGACACGTCCTAGATTTTCCCTGCACAAAGTAGTCCAGGAACCCTGCGCGATCCCTAATATAACATCCCCATCCACCGGAAGCCCCAGGTGCATAGCAACATCCTCAGGTGTAATCATGCACTCTCCGCACGGAAGATGGAATGTGTGGGTCTCCGACCTCCACCGCTCTACTAAGGCAGAGATAAGGTCTGGTTCTATCTTACAGTGACCCTGATATCTACCTATGTAACCAAATCCAGCCTCTACTAAATACGACAAGACACGACTAGGTATCACTAACTTAAGGTTCCTAATAAAAGGATCTAATATATGATCCTTCTCCTAAAAATAAATAATTACAAAAATTAATTTTTAATCTAATAATCATGCATTAAATAAATCAACAAATTATTACTAATAATTTAAATTAAATTAAAACATTAAAATGTTAATGTATCAGCAAAGTGTCGAGATATATGATTTCCATCCAAGCGAAGTAGACCGCACTACATTATATATCTGCAAAAAAATTATATAAGTAAAATATTAAATAAATTAAAATACTTAAATAAATTAAATACAAAATATTAAAAATGTAATAAAATATACCTTAAACAGAGAATATAAGAATATTTGAGAGAAGTTGAGAGAAATTGAGAGAATTTGGTGTGATGAAAGTGATTGAGGATGAGGTTATTTATCGGGAGGATTGAGGTGTGAAACGTCGGGGTATGGGGGTAATTAAACATATAACGCGGGGCAGGGGGGCGCCTTCCTGACGTGTGGCAGATACACAGGTAAGTCGCGACCCCTGATCCGCGCTATACCCACGTGTATCCCATGTCAGCATATAACGCGGTGCAGGGGACGCGCTTTACTGCTAAGGGTGTTAGATCGGGAAATATAATCTGACCGGTATTAGATCGATAAATATACCGGTCAACGGTGATTTTTCGGAAAAAACGCCAAAATCCAATTATCATCTTTTGTAATATCCCCGTGGAAGTTTATATATATTATCATCAGTGTATGATTTATTATACTATTTATTTGAATAATATATTATTATAGTTTATTATGAAAATTATTATTTTTATTCAATTTTCTCTATTGATATCATTCAAATCTCTAAAGCATCAGTGTTAAACAGTTAAATCCTTCCTTTAATCTAACTATTCTCGATCATTAAATGTTAATTTAGATTTAATTAGAATATAATTTAAAATAGTTGAATTAAACTTTAAATGTATTTGCACGTGCAGCATGGAAAATTTAAATACATAGCGAGCTGTCATAGATGTAAGATCTATTTGATACGATATTAATAATTTTGGTAAAGTATAGTAATGATCATTGAATTTTTCTAAAGCTTTCATTTAGGTCCTCAAACTTTTAAAACTTATAATATAGTCCCCCAATATTTAGTCTGTTTGCAATATGGTTCCCTACCGTTTGACGCTGTTACACTACCTTAGTACGTTTGCAATATGGTCACTGAACTTTTCAGGCACTTGCATTTAGGTTCCTTAACTTTTAAAACTTGCAACACAGTCTTAAATTTCATTCTAACCCCAAATTCCTTTTCGATCTTGAATTTCCTTTTTCACTTCTCTCTTCTCATTTCCAGCATAACTTTTCAGTCGGGGATGCATGGGAAATTCTTGGAGGTGTTGACCTGAATAAGGGACCATTGAGAGAAGACTCGACCAAGGGACTATCGGGACCATCAACGATTCAAGGTGTAATGTTAGATACATGTCATCTCAGGTGAAGCATAAATGTTCGATGAAATGCTTGTGAGAAAAAAATGGGGTTAGAAATGTAGAGTTGACAAATTCTACTAAGATGAAGTAAGTATCATTATTGAAAGTCACCAA